TGAAAGTGAAACAAGTTGCACCTGCATGTCTTCTTCTTCTTCTTCGCCTCTTCCTCTTCCTCCTTCAGCACCGGCGGAATCAACGTCTTTAGGGTCCCGAAGGAAGCCATTGGAGCTGGCGGGTGTTTCAATTGAGGTGCCTAGAAGGAACAACGAAGGATTCAGAGGTGTGGATGAGGAGGTAGGCTTGGGATCGCCAGCAAGCCAGGGGTTCAAGTCACCGGGAAGTCGGATTCTATCGTTAAAGAGGATATTGAGCAGAGATCGAAGAGCTGGATTTTCTTCTCCTTCTGCGGCATCGATGCCGAATTGCAGCTCTACCACACAGACCATTGATCTCGAAAGAGGTGGCGAAGGCGAAGAACAACAAGTCGACGCGCAACGTCCACGGTGAGACCGACTGAGGAAGGAAGCTACGAGCCTACGACTCATCCGTGGGTGAGAGTTGAGATCCGCCTACCCGGGAAGGAAGCTACGACTCAGCCGAACGTGAACGCGGAACAGCGCGATTGTCGCTATCAGAGCCAATGGCGGTGTAAGAGCTAAAGGATTCCAAACTTCCGCAACACGTGGCAGACAGATAATAGAGACGTCCTTCCAGCCGCCTTCCATGAACGTCGACGCAATACACAAACTGTGAATCTGTGATTACCATTACCTGATGTAAATTGGAAATGTAAATTCAGAGAATTATTTTTTATTCAATTAATTACAAGGTTAATTATTTTCCCCACTACAAAAAAAAACTAATTATTTTCTCTTAGCAAAGTTATCTTTTTTTTCTCCTTCAATAATCACAGCATTGGTGTGCAGCAAGACCGTGCAAATTTATACGCTCCGAGTGTTGCTCTCATTTCAGCAACCGCAGTGGACATAACTAAATTGTACTAATCTCTTCATTTTATAATTTTATTTTCATCATATATATTTGATGTGTTCAGCTGATGGTTTAATGATGTATTATCTGTCTAGTTTCTTTAATGAGTGGTTTGATCGTTAATATGGAATACTGTCGGGGGGTAAATGGGCAATGCAAGTACTATGCACTAACATGGAAGATTCCAATACAACCCAATGTTGAAGCACGAAGGTTTCTTAATCGGGTTGTGATGTTGGTTTCCATCTAATTAATTAGTGTCCCAACAGATAAAGGAGATGTTATCATGTTACCGAATACCGATGTATGGGCTGCATTCAGCGATGTTTGTTGGGACCAGATCTGAACCGTGTCTTAGACGTAACAATTAAACTAACAAAGCCACGCCACCTGTATTATCATAACAATTTTCAAATCCTTCAAAATAATGCCACGTGGATTTATTCTCTGCAGCGTATTTTTCCGTAATTTTTCAAAACAATGAAAAGGGAATTCGGATTTGTTCCCCACACATTGCATCCGTGAAATAAAGAATAAGTGCTGTACTTGCATGTTGTCATTGATGGGAGGAAATATTCTCAATGCTTGGGTGGGATGTGCTGTGAGGTTGACTTGAGGAAACTTTTTAGGGAGCTGGACTCACAAGAATCTGGTGGGCTGTAAAGCTTGTCTCGTCTAAACAGAAGGAACATTCGATCTGGCCATATATTCAATGCACATGGTCTAATAAGAACACAAGTGTAAAGATCTCGATAAGCGACCAATCACATGTGAACAACACACTAGTGTTGCATATACATGGCATCCAGACGTTTTCACCTCTAGTCCCATGTGTATGGAAAATTAAAGACCCGTTTGACGTGTTTTTTTTGAAAAAATCTTTTGGTAGCTCTATATGTTTTTGTATAAAGATCTAAGCAGTTTGAATTACGTTTGACAGACATACATCTTTCTGTGCCAAATGAAAATCGGTCTTCTCAACTTGTAAACAACCAAAAGACCGTTTGAAAAAATATGCCAAACAGGCCCTAAATATTCGCTCATAATTGATCATTTAACCGCATTGTATTTGCATCGAATTCAGAGTATATATCGATCATTTGATCTCAATCGGCCATTTCTTAGGATAATTGGTTCTGACCCAATAAGACCCGATTATAATAAATTTGTTGAAAATATTATACATTTAATATAAACTTATTGACTTAATATATATGACTAATTGGGTAAAACCGGTCCTGAACCTATAATCGGGACAATAGATTACAAAACGAACCAATCCTGTAACCAAAACCAACCCCATTGATTCGGATCCATCGGATGACCCATTGACAACACCTTTACCGTGTATGAGGTAAAGTAAAAATAGTATTTGCAATCTTTTTAGCAAAAAAAAATAAAAAGAAGAAACATGTAAGGACCTGAATAGGATAACGTGTCAAGGGAGCTCCAAACAGCCAAAGATTTTCCAGGTCAATGAATCTGATGCCACATGTCATAACCAGGCTCGGATTTGCAATCCAGTACTTGTTCTCACATTTCAACCCACATGTAACAGCTGTGCGTTGGAAATATCTCCTTTTTCATTCATAAGGAGATGTTTCCAATTATGTTTTCTAAAATTAGACCGGACCGGAAAAACTAAAAGCGGATTAGGTGACTGATTCCGCTTTCCCAAAACCGGATATTTACAAAAAAAATGTTGATTTAATTAGCAAATTGCTGATTTAGGCGGTTCGAACTGTTTGACGATTTTGACCATTTTTTGTTTTTTTTTTTGTTTTTGTCAAAATAAATTGACCATTTGATTCAAATAGTCAGACCGTTTGACCCGAAAACTGAACCCCTGACTGGTTTGATCTCCAAGTCAATTTTAAAAACTTGCTCCTAATACACGGCAGTGGTGTTGGATGGGTATAAATGTGGGAACAGGTTGTGGATAAGAGATCCGGAGTGGTAATAGTAGTAGGGCTTATTATTTGGAACACGTGGCAAAGGTTTTATGTTAAGTTTAACTGGATTCATTGACTTGGCCTCTAATGAAGAGAGGAAACATAGGGCCTCAATTGGGGTTATAAAAATATTTGAATATATGGCAGAAGTATTTGGGTTGAAATTTATTGACCTCATCACTAACATATATATATGTTGACAACATAGAGGATTACATGATGTTTTCTCTACAGAAGCAGTGATAAAAAATTTAAAATATCAATCCCTGTTTTTAGCTTTCAAGGAGACGAAGGAAAAAGAAAGACACTTGTATTGTATGGAAGTTGCTCACTTCCACACAACCTAAAAATAAATAACGTTGCATAACTTCTAAACCCTTTTGACTCCCTTCGTCTAAATTTAGAATTCAAAACCAGAAGAAAACAATACTTTAATATGACTCCTTTACTCATATATACTTGGTCCCAAATCTTAAAATAAAGTTTCATGCCCAAACAAAGGAGTCGATGCGCTATTGATTTATTTCATTAATAGCTGCCTCGCTTTCAAAGTTGAGAATTAGGACTGAAATTGCACGTAACACGGCTTTGTGTTTGACATGATCTCGTGAATCATGGTTGTTTATAATGGGACCTAGCAATACATCTAATTCCAAATTGCTAATGTCAACATGGTTTTAGGGAAAGTATATATTTGGCTTGGGTGCGATACTAGCCATGGTTTGAGTGTAAATTATACAATCCTTTTTTTTTTTTTTTTTTTTAAATTTATGCATGTATCCATCATTAATACCTATTTGAACACTAGTAAGATGGAGAAGAAGAAACAATAACTAATTTATTTGGAGTCTTTCATGTATAAAAATCTCCCTTGAGGCTTCTGACAATCATAAAAAGCACCCTTTAAGTTTTACTTTAACAATAATCTCCTCTGAACTTTTGAAAAATCTCAATAAATAGCTCCCTCCCATTCATCGCTGATCCAAACAGAAAATATTTGATTGATGCATTAGTTTTTTCAAAATGTCCATTCTATCTTTTTGCATATCATTTCACACAAAACTTTATTAGGGTCTGTTTGGTTTACAGTTGGAATCGGAATGATCCATTCCCATGGTCTGTTTGATTCAAACATGAATAGGAATAAGAATTGGAATCAGGAGGAATAAGATTTCATTCCCAAGAGAGGGGCAGAAAATGGCCATTCCCTCAAATGGGAGAGTGCCATTTCAACCGGAATGGTAATGGAATTCCGGTTCCGCCCAACCAAACAATTGGAATCTAAATATTCCAAACCCCTATTCCAATAAACCGAATGAGGCCTAAAATAACCCTGAAAAGAACCTTTTAACCTAAATAACCCATTTGTTGTCTTCTTTCTCCTCTTTCAATCTCGCACCCGCACCCTTTGAGTCAAAAAAAAGTGGCAGCATTTGTCGATCTTAGGCTTTCCCACCCCTAAAACTTCCTCCAGTTAAGAAGGAAGTGGCTTACTACTATCAAGGACACGTTTATACACGCCAATCACTTGAATAGCAAATCCTTTTGCCTTCTCAAACAAATTCCCTGAAAATAGCATCAAGTTTTGTTTGAATAAATAAATCTTCTCCCATTCCTTTTTGCTAGCACAATTTCTAGGATTGATAAGTTTTTGGGATCGATACAAGGAGATGGGCTCATCAAATCCATTGAAGACTCCTTGGGCGGTGTTACAACTAAGTGTTTAATGTCAGATACAAACTCTGATATACTGTACTGCACAGTCAAAGTATCAAATCTGTTGAGACATGGTTTTGTAAAACTTGGCAGAGTACGAGTACCTATCCATCACCCCATTCTCGTCCATCACCGCTATAGTTTGCAATCTTTTCAGAACCCCTCTGGCTCTGGCCCTCTTGTCGGGAACCCACTAATTCTATTTCGACGATAGTTGTTGCTCCTCAGGAAAGAAACCATAAACATTGTGGAATCAACACTATGAGATCTGAACATGAACCCCCCATTTCTCCTACGCGATCACGGAGATCCCAAACGAAACAAGCCACTGAATCAAACCTTGAAAACCCATGCCTCTGCTGCCTTGCAATGTCCGGTTTCTTTCGACGAAGAATGAAGCACACACAAGCACTCCGTATGTCAACAAGGGTACCCACAAAACAGTTAAAATAGATAGAACACAAGGAGAGTGAAAAAAAGGCTCTATCTCAATGATGATGAGCATTGAGCTAATGGTATTTATAGAATAGTAAGCTATGTACACTTGGCAGTCTTTGATTTGTTTGTGCGGTTACAGATAGAATAGAGATGCTGACAAGTTACAGTTACAAATAGAGATTACAAAAGTTTATCTTGAGGAGTGAGGTAACAAGAGTTTATCTTGATGAGTCAAGACTTATCTTGCAGGCTGTTATCCTTAACACCCTCCCGCAAACTAAAGGGAGGTGCTGCAACCTTTAGTTTGGATCGCAGTAAGCAGAACCGGGATGAACTGAGAGGATTGGTAAGGGCATCCGCTGTTTGATCCTTGCTGGATATAGACTTCACTATGATACATTTTTGTTGCACAAGTTCACGAACAAAATGCAAATCGATTTCGATGTACTTGGTGCGAGCATGGAACACCAGGTTGGCAGTGAGATAGGTGGCACCCAAGTTGTCACACCACAGAATAGGTGGTGGGCTGAAGGAGAGTCCAAGTTTAGAAAAGAGTGAGCGGAGCCAAACCAATTCAGAGGCACATGTGGCTAAGCACTGATGTACGGATTCGGTGCTGGAACGGGAGACTATAGATTGCTTGCGAGATGTCCAAGATATGAGACTATGACCCATGAATATGCAGAATCCACTTTGAGAGCGTCGGTCATCTGGGCACCCAGCCCAATCTACATCAGAGAAGGCCTGTAATCGTAGAGTGTTTGACGGAGAGAAGTGGAGGCCAAAGGAGAGAGTGTCTTTTAGATACTGTACGATCCTCCTTGCGGCCATCCAATGTTCGGAGAGGA